AGAAGTTTTGGCAGTTTGCTGGTCTGGAGCCTTCAGGTGTGTGTTAACACAATATCAATGAGGTAGGACAGCAGCAATGATCTTAGAGAAGCAATTGTTGCTGCCATCAGTCTGGGAAGAGTAATACGGCCATTTCCAAACAATTTGAAGTCCATCATTCTACAGTGAGTAAGATTATTCACAAGTGGAAGACATTCAAAACAGACACCAATCCTCCCAGGAGAGGACATCCCAGCGAATTCACCCCAAGATCAGACCATGTAATGCTCAGAGAAACGGCAGACAACCCAAGAACTTCACCTTCACTCTACAGGCCTCAGTTACCATGTTAAATGATAAGAGTTCATGACAGTACAATTAGAAAAATATGGGACAAGTATGGCATGTTTGGAAGGCTTGCCAGAAGAAAGCTTCTTCTAACTAAAAAAGCATGGCAGCACAGTTTAGGTTTGCATAGTTGCATCTGAACAAACCATATAAGACTTCTAGAACAATATCCTTTGAACAGATGAGACCAGAGTGGAGATGTTTGGCCATAATGCACAGCAGCACGTTTGGTGAAAACCTAATAAGCATATCAGTACAAACACCTCATACCAGAAGTCACACATGCTGGTGGAGGGCTGATGATTTTGGGCTTGTTTTGTAGCCACAGGACCTGGGCATCTCACAGTCATTGAATCAACCATGAACTCCTCTGTATACCAAAGTATTCTAGAGTCAAATGTGAGGCCATCTGTCCAACAGCTAAAGCTTGGCCAAGATTGGGTGATGCAACAGGACAATGATCCCAAGCAGTGAAAATAAAATAAATGAGGTTCTGCAATAGCCCAGTCATAGTCCAGACCTCATGCTAACTGAAATCATGTGGTGAGAGCTGTGCATAAACAAATGCCCACAAACCTCAATAAACTGGAGCAACGTTGTAAAGAGTGGGCTAAAATTCTTCCAGAACGATGTGAGAGACTGATTAAGTCATACAGAAAATTATTACTTCAATTTATTGCTGCTGACTCTACAGGCAATTGAATCATAGGGTGTCCTAACTTTGTCACACATGGCTTTTCCATCTTGGCTTTGTTTTTGTTAATCAAATAATGACACGCTGTGATATGTCGTGATATTGTTCATCTGAGGCTTTATTTCCAAATTTTAAGACTTTCCATATTAAGACTTCATATTTTTTTGTTATGTCCTGATACAGAAAACCATGGAATTCAATAGGGTGTCCCAACTTTTTCACATGACTGTATATGCCATTATACAAGACTTTTTTCATGTATTTTTCCCTTTCCTCTGCCTCACGACCTAGATTTCTTGTCATCCTCAAGCTCAGGGCAACAAAGCTACTTCCCAAAGTTCCACAACAATTACAAGGGTCCCGAGTGCCATGCATTTCCCCCCGGCCGAAGATTATATCGTTGTGGCCTGTGTGAGCGAGACTTTAACCGTAAACAACATCTCAAGATCCATCAGAGGATCCATACAGGAGAGAGGCCGTACACTTGCTCCATCTGCAGCGCACGCTTCCGTCACGCATTGACACTCAAGCGCCACTCCCGCATCCATACGGGAGAGAAACCTTATGCTTGTGATCAGTGTGGGAAAAACTTTCGAAATGATGGTGGTTTGAAGTTCCATCAGTGTTCATGACAACAGTTGTATAAATGCACTCTTTATGGTAGTCATGTGTTGCAGGGTGAATCCAATATAGGAACCCCAGGAACAAAACTTACAAGAACCAAAATGGAGTTGTAAAATTAATTAAAATAAATAAATAAATATATATATATATACAGTGGGTACGGAAAGTATTCAGACCCGTATTGCACCATGAGCTGTTATTTTAAGTGATAAGATTGCTGACATTTTAGGTATAAAAGATAGGGTGGCAGAGACTCATAGTAAAGATCATGTACAGTCAGTTTCACTGATAAGATACAAACCAGCTAGTGCTAATTTATTGAGTTTTACTTGAGTTGTTATGCCTGCTAACCAAAGTCCAAGTCAGTCAGGTGTATGGCATAGCATAGATTCAAAGCACAGGGGAAAGATGGGATCAATGCAATGCTATTTTTGTTTTGTAGATTGAATCAATTTGTGAAATTCTGTTACTGATCACTTCTGTATAGCAATTAACAAATCTTTCATTTGCATTTTAGACAATATTATCCAACCCTGGGAGGAATCTCTGTTTAGTATTGTGGTGCCATAAATCTGTCATAAGTCTTTCTCGGCTTTGTGCAAGTTAGTTTCCAGTAGTTTGCTTTATCTTTGCTACAATCACCTTCCAAGCAGATGAAACAAAACCGGTGAAAGCATGATGTGCATGTTACAAACTTGCATCCTTTTTCATGCATAATCAGATTATGACACGATTAGGACAGGCTCTGAACGTTGGACAACCAAACACTTTGCTCTGTGGATCTGATACCAAGTCACAGGTTAGCAGTGTGGAGACGAGGGAGCACAGCTTGTTGGTGCAGGCAGCAGAAGTGCAGGGGTAAAGGCAGGAGCCACACAGGAGCTGAGTGGTCGGCCATCGAGTGCACTGAAGCAGTTCAGTAGTAACTTTTATACAAGCAGGTTTAAGTGCAGAGAAAATGGAAAATGCAAGACATGGGTGGAAAATAATAAAGATTTACAACTTCATGACACCATGTTGAGTTTGGTTCAGATGCCGTTGATGAAAATGAAATGAAGTAAATATACAGTGCTTACTGTGTTTGTGGGATCTAGTTTGTTTCCATCTTCCTGAGTTCCAAAAGTGTTTATGGATTGGTTATTCATTATAGATTGAGTTAGAGGTCGACCGATATGGGTTTTTCACTGGCCGATGCCGATATTTAATAATCAGGGCAGCCGATGGCAGATATATGATGCCGATATGTTTGTCCGATATTCTTTTTTTTTCTTCCCCTTCATCTCATAAAAGTGAGTTTGAGTAAATGATTATTGCGGTATACAAGATAGTAATAGTAGTAGTAGCCTAATTCAGAGTAATAATTCATGGCTCAAAACTTAAGCACCTTCTCAAAACAGTTCTGAAGCATGCTTTTTGTTTATGTTTGCTGACAGACGCCGACTTGCAAATGCAAATTCATTCTCTGCCAGCAGGAGGCGCTGTTGGAGCGGAGATATAGCGGTTTCCCCGGTAACAGCTGTAATCAAATAAGCGCTACTTTATCAGGCATTACAGGAAAGATTCAATTAAAATGACATAGAAGCTTTTCTGAAGACGGTCGGTTCTTTTCACAGATACATTAATATAAAAACACCCGCGCTGCATTTTAATTTTGAAACGTGCAGTGCTCCAGACTTGCAAATGCAAATTAATTCTCTGCCAGCAGGAGGCGCTGTTGGAGCGGAGATATAGCGGTTTCCCCGGTAACAGCTGTAATCAAATAAGCGCTACTTTATCAGGCATTACAGGAAAGATTAAATTAAAATGACATAGAAGCTTTTCTGAAGACGATCGGTTCTTTTCACAGATACATTAATATAAAAACACCCGCGCTGCATTTTAATTTTGAAACGTGCAGTGCTCAGTTTATTCAAGGAAGTATAGCCTTTTGGAAAATCTATTTGTGGCAGTCCGTCTGTTGTGACGAGCCGCCACACATAACTCAATGTATGGGAAACACTGGACACTTCTGTAAGTCAAATGGCCAAGTGATAACAAAAATAAAAGAGTTGTCGGACCCACACACACATTTCTTGAGCAAAGTTATCGTGCACGTTATAATCAGCCCAGAAGTTTCGTCTGAATTGCATGTGTAAGAATTACAGAACCTCAGACACTTTGATCTTCTGAGACAGACAATACACACACAGTGCATTAACATACAGACATCTGTTTCCACATCTCACTGAGAGAAAATGCGGGAAAACGTCTCTCGCATATGCATCAGTTCCGAAACTCAGATACTTTGATCTCCTGAGAAACAGACAATACAAACTTACACGGGCATCTTGGAGAAACCCCACAGAGTGGCGGTGCAGGAAACGCCTCTCTCACATATGCATCAGTGCCTTTTCATCTGCTCCCTCCACTGGATTCACTCAGCATGGTCAATAGTATAATGTTCTATGAATGCAAATCAGATTTACAGTCATGTTTGGTTTAATTTGAATAGTCTCAGGGTGAGTGGTACAATGGTCTTAATCTTACAAAAGTAGACTAAAAGATAATACAGATCCTAAGAGTTAAGAGATACTTTGATTACTGTAGAGGGTCATTCCATGCAAATTACCTTCTGTTCCCATTGAGGTGCAAACCACCCAGGTCTGGGACCTGGGTTAATGTAAATTCCAATTGTGTGTACGTGCCTCCACTTGGGGGATGTTTTATCTTGGTTTTGTATTTAAAGGATTGCAGCAAAAGGGTCGTGGCGATTCTGTAGCCAGAGAGCCCATAGTATGAAGTGTGTTCACACACTCAATACTATGTATTTTCCTAAAGTTAGGTATGAATCCTTTACTCTTAGATTTGTCTATGAGAATTTGATTGTCTTGTATTGATTTGATATCTTTGAATTGGCTATGTAGATCATTGGCATAATACATATTTACCTGACTGATAATAAATTGTTACATTTGATTTATTCTGACTTATTCTGAAATTATTTTCTCAAGTAGATTAAGTGAAGGCGTATGTTTCCGCAAAACTGCGTAAAATGGAGTCAGATTTGAGTTAAACCTAAATTGAATAACTCTGCGCGCTGAAAAGACCGAACACGCAAGAAACCTTCATCCACCACTGGATACCTTCATTGGGCCAAGTGCGTGGACTTTACACATGTTTCTATTTTCACATGCAAATGACTTGCACTTATGAATATGATAACGTTCCGACATCAATTCTAGTAGGGTAAAACGTAATTACGCTTTCGAAACGGTCTGTTTTGCCCTGCCATCATTAGCTGAAGCTGTGTGTGAACAAGAAAGGGCTGCAGAGTGTGAGCTGCTCGTCCGTCTCATGCAGCCAGAGATTCTCCGGCGTTCCGCAACAACGCTTTAGCTAACCGCAGATGCGCTTGCCTATAAATCGGCCTAATTTGCAGCACAGTCGGCCGATGCCGATTAATTTTAAAAATGCCAAAAATCGGCCGATTAATCGGCCGGTCGATCAATCGTCGACCTCTAGATTGAGTTTGAGAGAGAGGATAAAGCACCTTTACAGACCAGACAGAAGATACAATGAGTAATTTGCTAAATTTAATCCAGTTACTTAACCATCATCACTGCCAGAACTAGAGCGCTATGAGGCATCATTGTCTTTATGCTGACCTACCATTTTTAAACATCTTTTTACAGATCTTTTGTATATTTGACTGGTATTTAATGATGCAACCAAGTTATAAGCTATAAGCTACCAATAGAATGTATTTAACATAAGTGTTCTCACCTCTAAAATATTTTCCTCCTTGCTGAGATCATCAGTCAAATCATACACTTGTGAATTTCCTACAGAACAATGATTGGCAGTTTTTGGAGTTTTATAACAAACAAATGAAATGCGCAATAAGAATAACTGAAGCATTGATTAGGCATGTGGCGTCGTACTATTCTCAGGACAAAGTGAAAGTGAAAGTAATTTTTCAGTGGTTGCAAATATATTTATAAACACATTTGTTAATAATTTACCATTCAAATGTATAAAGGGTTAATAAACAACAAATACAAGATTCCACTGTTGTCTGTCCTCTTCCATTCCACCGTATAACCGTCTGTCTCACGCTTCTTAGCTCTTCGTGTTTATACCTTAATTTTTCACACGTTTTTCTGGTTCTTCTAGTATGTTTCATCGTATCAGTTTGAGATTATTTAAAAATAGGCTACCTGTGCTGTCATGTCGATCTGTTCTACACTGTAAAAAGTAATCATTGAATCTACTTAAGAAAAGCAAGTAAACATAACTGATTTTTACAAATTTGTTGAATTTACTTAATTACACTGTGTTATGTGAACTTTCAGGTGGATGCAATAGTTTAACTAAACAACTTTAGTGAACAGTACTTAAGAGCATCTAGTTTGTTGGATTAAAGGTATGTTTCCGTTGTCTGGTGGAAAGAACAATGAATACAGTTTTAGAGTGAATACAATTTGAAATGGTTAAGGTTTTCTTTTAGTTTTTTTTTTACAGATAGGGTTCTGAATCTTTTTTTCTTCAAGCAGTCAAATAACAGTGAGATTTCAGCTTTTTGGCTTGCCCACAAGCTGTTGCTGCCTCATAATCCAGTAGAGCGTTTCAAATCATCATATTTATATTAATAACTTAATATATTTACTGGATTTTGGTAATTGCAGCATATGACAAAAACATTAATGTGTTCTGCTACTCCTATTTTAATTTGTTCAGTGTGTTGGGAGTCCCTGCGTATGCGCAATGTGAACGTTTACAGGTGATTGGTGACGACGTAAAAAAAAAAATAATAATAATAAAAAAACATATATATATATATAAAAATTTCCCCAATCCCACTATGTGCCCTAATAACTCTAGACCAATAGGTGGCGGAAGTGCACCAGTAGGTCGCGGAAGGTTGGTTTAAACAAAACATCACCAGAAGAAGACAACGAACTGAACTTCAGAGTTGGTTCGTGTTTGAAATGTGGCAGCAAGATTGTTAATAAAGAATAACAATTTGGTCCCTCAGTAAATTCTCTTTGCCACCTTGAAGAATTCTCAGTTACTTAAAGTGTAGACGGCCGGGAAGTAAGAAAACACACAGTCAAATGTATCCTCAATACTTCAATTTATTCATAGAAATACAGATATTATATAGGCATATGTCGAGGGGAGTTTCATCCTCTTAACCAATGAGGATATGAATAACATACACGTAGGATCTTTGGCCAAGAACATGTGTTTATATAAAATAGCCACATGTACAGAAAAACATGGACATATTAGGAATAGACTTTTGCGAAGAATGCTGAACTGTCTTCATGGTTTCATCACGAACTCCTTTACCCTTGTAGTCCTAACATTCATGTCCTTATTTGGGACATTTGAACCAAGAGAAGCTAATGTATACATTTAAGCATGCATACTTCGCATATGAGTAAGACATATTTAAAACATAATATCAAGAGAGAGAGATGGATACAGAAGGAGGGATTCAGAAAGAATGCGTTGTATATATAAGAATGAGAGAGAGGGAGAAAAAGGAGGGGTAAGACATGTCTGGACTCAACAGAAAGACAGAGAGTGTTTTTGAGGAAAAGAAAAGGCAGATCTTATTAGTTTTTACTGACGAGCTTTACTGTAACAGTCAGTTAGCGTACTAGCTAGCCAGTGGTTTATAAGATAGATTACAAACATCTATCTTCCTCTTTACTGCTAGTTATAACATGAAATAAACGTAAGCATCATAAAGTATGCTGACCGATACAGTACAAGTTAATGAAATGTATCATGTCTTATGTAATCCGTTTTCAGTATTTAATGTTTGAACAAATGTCATGAAAACAAGTTATCACCACAACCACTGTTTAAATGTTTATATTTCAGAAAATTATTTGGAGTAGAAACATCATTTAAAATTGTTTTTAAATGTGCGTCAATGCCCAGCACTAATTATAACCATTTTCTTGTCATATTTTATGTGCTCTTTTTTGGGGACTTAAACTCATGCAGTGGAAGTGGAAGTTCTACTTGTTTATTGAGTGAAAAGAGAGCTCAACTGCTGAAAAACTTATTAAAATATGGAAGCTATGGAATATGAAAATTCACCAATTCCATGTTTCCACATAGTATATGCTTATTCACATATGTGCGCTTAATGAAAAATCATGCTTTGCAGTTTTGTGAAACCCTGCACAGAATAAGTAGATATTCATTATATTTTATGCTGAGTGCTTGTGCTTTGAGTGATATTCAATTTTTTTTTTAAATAATTGTAGAGACATCTAACATCAATGGGCGATGAACAGCAGTTCTCCACGGCCTTCCACTCTTCCTTGAAAAGGACCTTACTGATTTTACAAGACATGTTTTGCAAGTAATTTTGTCTGTTATATTCTGGTTATTTAGTGTAATGCAGACAATTATTGAGACCTGGCAAGAAAAAAATCAGGACACAGAAACAATATAAGATAGAAAGGAATAAAGAAAGTGAAAAAAAAACCTTAAAGGAAAGGGAATGTATAATAAAAGAACAGAGTTGGAAAGAAGAGAAAAAAATACTTAAAGGGATAGTTCACTCAAAAATGAAAATTATATGAGTTTTTTTTAATAATTGTACAGACATCTGACATCAATGGGCGATGAACAGCAGTTCTCCACGGCCTTCCACTCTTCCTTGAAAAGGACCTTACTGATTTTACAAGACATGTTTTGCAAGTAATTTTGTCTGTTATATTCTGGTTATTTAGTGTAATGCAGACAATTATTGAGACCTGGCAAGAAAAAAATCAGGACACAGAAACAATATAAGATAGAAAGGAATAAAGAAAGTGAAAAAAAAACCTTAAAGGAAAGGGAATGTATAATAAAAGAACAGAGTTGGAAAGAAGAGAAAAAAATACTTAAAGGGATAGTTCACTCAAAAATGAAAATTCTGTCATTAATTACTCACCCTCATGTCGTTCCAAACCTATAAGACCTTTGTTCATTTTCGGAACACAATTTAAGATATTTCTGATGAAATCCAAGACCACGTTCAAGACCCAGAAAGAAAGTTAGTACATCGTTCACGAGAGTATCACGACGCATGCGTGTGATGCTGCTGACGCAGGAGCCGGCGTTCTGACGGAGAACACACATGCACTGTGCCTTGTTTACAAGCAGAGGAATGCACAAGCATTCTCAGATTTCATCAAAAATATCTTCATTTGTGTTCCGAAGATGAATGAAGGTCTTACTGGTTTGG